ATGAGCCACACGAGTGCCTGAGTGGCCGGACCACCACGGGGGCCCCTGTGCTTTCCTGCACTTGTGCACAGGCCGACTTCCCCTGGATGGCCACACATGGGATCCAAGGGTTGGCTCATGAGGTCCAGGGGTGCTTCTCCCTTTATTTCTGTGTCTATGATTACTGGCTCCAGAGTGGGTGCCTGGTAAACACTTTTGTGAGTGAATCTTAGAATTTTCTTCAGTCGCCTCTGAGCCCGCTTTTCTCGTAGGCTCCCCAATGCCTATCCTGCTCATTTTTTACGGGTGTTTGTTATGTTGCTCTTATGCCCTATGCCAAGGGTAAGCTACAGCCTGTGACTCACATCCAGCACAGTGCCTGTGTGTGTGTGTGTTTCTTTTTACATTTAAGAATTTAAAACAATAGCAATAAAATAGACATAATATAAAACTTAACTATCTTGACTATTTTAGAGTTCAGTGGCATTAAATAGTTACATCACTGTGCAACTGTCACCACCTCCCGTCTCTAGAACGTTTTGAAACTGAAACTCTAGACCCATTAAATAACTCCCCATTCTCCCTACCCATTCCACGTCCTGGCATCCGCTATGCACCTGTCTGTCTCTGTGAATTTGACTACTCTAGGTACTCTATATAATGGAACCATATAGTATTTGTCATTTTATGACTGCTTATTTTGCTTAGTAGAATGTCCTCAAGTTCATCCATATTGTGACCTGTGACAGAATTTCCTTCCCTTTTAAAGCTGAAAAAGATTCCACTATACAGTATGTATATACCACATTTTATTTTATTTTTTGTTTGCTTTTCTTTTATTTTGAGACAGGATCTTAGTTTTGTTCCCCAGGCTGGAGTGCAGTGGCACGATCATAGCTCAGTGTAGCGCCATAATCCTGGGCTAAAGCGATTTTCCTGCCTCAGCGTCTTGAGTAACTGGGACTATATGTGTGCACCACCACTAATTTTTAATTTTTTTTTGTAGATATGGGGTCTTGCTATGTTGCCCAGGCTGCTCTTGAACTTCTGGGCTTGAATCGTCTGCCAGCCTCAGCCTCCCAAAGTGCTGGGATTATAGGCATGAGCCACTGCACCTGGCCCCCTATGTTGTTTATCCACTCACCCATCAATAGACACTTGGGCTGCCTCCATCTCATGGCTATTATAAATAATACTGCTGTAAGTGTGGGTTTACATGTTTCTTTTTTTAAAAATTTTTACTTTAAGTTCTGAGATATGTGTGCAGAATATGCCGGTTTGTTACATAGGTATACATGTGCCATGGTGGTTTGCTGCACCTATCAACACATCATCTAGGTTTTAAGCCCTGCATGTATTAGGTATTTATCCTAATGCTCTCCCTCCCTTTGCCCGCCACCCACCAATAGGCCCTGGTGTGTGATGTGCCGCTCCCTGTGTTCATGTATTCTCATTGTTCAACTCCCACTTATGAGTGAGAACATGCACTGTTTGGTTTTCTGTTCCTGTATTAGTTTGCTGAGAATGATGGTTTCCAGGTTCCCTGCAAAGGACATGAACTCATCCTTTTTTATGGCTGCATAGTATTCCATGGTGTATATGTGCCACATTTTCTTTATCCAGTCTATCATTAATGGGCATTTGGGTTGGTTCCAAGTCTTTACTTTGTAAATAGTGCTGCAACAAATATACGTGTGCATGTGTCTTTATAGTAGAATGATTTATAATCCTTTGAGTATATACCCAGTAATGGGATTGCTGGGTTAAATGGTATTTCTGGTTCCAGATCCTTGAGGAATCACCACACTGTCTTCCACAATGGTTGAACTAATTTACACTCCCACCAACAGTGTGAAAGCATTCGTATTTCTCCACATCCTCTCCAGCATCTGTTGTTTCTAGACTTTTTAATGAGTGCCATTCAGACTGGTGTGAGATGGTATCTCATTGTGGTTTCTATTTGCATTTCTCTAATGACCAGTGATGCTGAGCTTTTTTTCATATGTTTGTTGCCCACATAAATGTCTTCTTTTGAGAAGTGTCTGTTCATATCCTTCACCCACCTTTTGCTGGGGTTGTTTGTTATTTTTCTTGTAAATTGGTTTGTGTTTATATGTTTCTTCAAGACCCCGCACTTAATTCTTTTGTGTGGAATTGCAGGATCTATGATAATTCTGTGTTTAATTTTTTGTGGAACTGCCATACTGTTTTCCATAGTGGCTGCACCATTTGGCATTTCCGCCAGCAGTGTGCCAGGTCTCCACTTCCTCCACACCCTTGTCAGCACTTATTATCTTCCGTTTTTATGCTAGCAGCTGTCTTCATGGGTGTGCAGTGGCTCTTAGTATGGTTCTGCCTGTTCTCATACGGCCTATGAGCTAAGAATGGCTTTTCCATTTTTATATGATTGAAAAAAGTCAAAAGAAAAATAATGTTTCATGATACTGGAACATTGTATGAAATTTGAATCTCAGGGCCCATAAATAAAGTTTTATTGGCATGCAGGCACTCCTATTTGTTTATATGTTGTCTGTAGCTACATTTATGCTACAAAGGCAGAGTTGGGTAGTTGAGACAGAGACTGTGTGACCCGCAAAGTCTAAAATAGTTACCACCTGGCACTTTATGGGAAACTTTTGCCAATCCTGTCCTATGATAAGTGCTGTATGCTTTCTCTGTTTAACCTCCTCTCTAATCCATTTTGCAGACACAGAAACTGAGGCTCAGCAAAGATAAGTAACTTGTACAAGTCACACATTACCTAAACAGGGCACATGTGCCTGTCCGTGTGACTCCAAATCTTGCATTCCTCACTACCATATTAAATGAACAAAATCATTTGAAGATTGCTCTTTCTAGAGAACTGTTTTTTTTTTTCTCTCTCTTTCTTGCCTTTTTTTTTTTTTTTTTGAGACAGGGTCTCATTGTTGCACAGGTTTGAGTGCAGTGGCATGATCACTGCAGCCTTGACTTGACTTCCGGGGCCCAAGCCATCCTCTTGTCTCAGCCTCCCAAGTAGCTGGGACTACAGGCATGCACCACCACATCTGGCTACTTGTTTTGAATTTCTTTTGTAGAGACAAGGTTTTGCCATGTTACCCAGGCTGATCTTGAACCACTGACCTCAAGCAATCCTCTCACCTTGGCCTCCCAAAGTGCTAGGATTATAGGCATGAGCCACTGCTAGGCCTCCAGGGGACTTTTCTGGGTGTTTTTAGTAAGCCTGAGGTCAGGTCCTGGTTGAGGAAAAAAAATTGTAATTATACTAAGATGTGATGTTGTCATTGGGAGAGGTAGCCAATTGAGGGAGAGAATGAAGATGGAAGGAGAAGTTAGGTGAGCTAAGCTTTCCTTTAATTCTTATGTTTAAATTCTAAGACCTACGCCTTATGTTGCATGGCAAAATGAGCTTTCAACTCTAAGGAGATAGTTTTAAGATTCAGGCATGTCGACATGCACAGGATTTCCTCAGGATTAGAAGAAAAGCCAAACCAATCAATAACTTCTTCTTGCATTAAAAAAGTGAATTATTTCCATAACTGAGAGGAAAGTAAGCCAGGGTCTACAAGGGAACCTGTTGATTGATTCTTTCTCCTTCATTCTTTGGATCGCATGTTGTTTGGGGTAAATTGTAGCGTAGACACCTTTGGCCCACCCCAACACATTTTCCCCCAAATGTAGAGATCTGCTCTCCCATCTCTCAGAGGCTGTCTTGGGCACTCCTTTTGCCTCTCGGGCTCTGATGGTCAGTGGGTGCGTTGTTACTGATGAGGGAGTGGTTAGTTCTCTCTCTCTGCCTCCTCCCCTTCTCGCCGCCCTCTCTGCCCACCAGGATGTGTGGACTTGGTACCAGGAACCTTCTGATATTTCTTGATACAGAGGACAAAGCATGGATAGTTATTTGTTCTTTCTTCCACGGGAGAAAAGTCTTAATTGATTTTACATATTTGTGTGCATTATGGAAATCACCCATCAGTCCCAACTACTTAGGGGATGTTGGGGGCTGCAGGAAATGGCTGGTCTTGAGTCTTTCTCAGGCAAAGAGATTGTGGTTCTCCTTTTATGTTTGGGAATGCACGACATTCCCCCCGCCTGCCAGCCCCCAGCAACTACTGTATTTCAACAATAGGCTTCACGCGGCTGCAGTGTGAGGCACAACAGTGTTTTTCATGAACTTTTGGCTGTGGTTTAGGCCTGGCAGAGCTGGACTCTTACCCTTAGAGTTTTCTGGCTCGATTCATTTTGCACAAAGGAAAGTACGATAATCGGAGTTGCAGGATGATAATGTGATCGACATGTTAGCACATTGCAAGAAAGACAGAAATGACTTTGGAGTTTGCATTTCATCCTTGAAAATGTGCAGTGCTGCCTGAGCCAAGGGGCCTGTACTTAGTAGGAGCTTGATAAATACTGGAAGAAGGGGTGGGTGAGGGTGGCAGTTGCTTTGTGCCTGAGAAGAGGCAGGAGAAGTATGTGATAACCTATGCCCATATATTTTGGAAACAGGGAAAGCTATTAAGTTTTTTTTTCCTGTTTAAAGATGGATTTTGGGTCTTGACCTGGTGGTGTTCTCTACCTGCCTGGTTGCCCAGTAGGTGGTGGTAACATGGCCACAAATTCATTTGACCTTGAGTTCCCTGACTCTTCTGCTCCGATGGCCCCTGTCTTTCACTATCTCTTGTCAATGAGCAGCTAAGCATTTATTGAGGGTCCCTGTGCTCAACTCTAGAGGGTGGAGTGAGGCCCTCAACATGGAGGAGCTTGCTGCCCAAAGGAGAGGGAGTTTTAGCTGGGGAGGTAGAGGCATGTGTATTTGTTGAGGTGGCCGTGAAGGGGTGCATGTGTTGAATTTTCCCTACCCCCAAGGCATTTTTATTTTCTTCCTGCAGTACCCCAAGAAATAATGAAGTTTTTCTAATGTGGATGTGTGTGTATTATGTCATGTCTGAAAACAGTTAATAGTACAAAATGATGCTCTTGAGTGAGCTGAACTCAACAGAATAATTTTTGTTCCTCAACAGAATATAACTTGAGACAACACTGACAGTTAAAAAATGTAAGTATGGCATATGCGGGAATCATTCACCAAACTTCTGCTTCTCCTCTCTAGGCCCCAATGTGTGTGTGTGTGTGTGTGTGTGTGTGTGTGTGTGTGTGTGTGTGTGTGTGTATTTAAACATGACTTCACTGTTTTTAGAAATGTGACATCCCAAATATGATCAAGTCTCCAGTAACAAGACAGTGGGTGGCCAATGCCCCCATGAGTGGCAGACTCCCTAGAGAAGGTTTTGGAAGTTTGCAGAATTCTTGCAAGATACCCCTGCCCTGACCCTCCAGACTCAACTCCTGCTTCCTTAGGTGGGGCAGACTCCTCTCTCCTCTCCAGGGTCTTCAGGAACTGAAGGCTGAGAGAAGCTTGTGAGGGAGGTTGAGGCAGGCATGCTTACAGGAAGGCTACACAGGTGTGGGAAGGAGCACTGCTCTTGGAGTGAGGAGGCTGGTTCTAATGTCTATCTGCAGTCCACAGCCTGGGTGACATTGGAGAGCCTCAAGCCATTGCAGCTGCAGGCTGTTACCTGAAGGGTGGGCATCTAAGGTTCTTTGTAAGTCTTAAACAGAATCACCTAGACCAGGGTGTCAGGAATGTACACACAGAGCCCTGGGGGTCTTGGTAGCATGCAGATTCTGATTCAGCAGGTCTAGGGAAGTGAGATTCTGCATACTTAACAGGCTCCCAAGCGATGCTGATGCTGCTGGTCCTCGGACCACACTTTGAGTAGCAAGAGACTGGAGGGGTAATTCTCAAACTTGGCTATCGATTATAACAACACAGGGAACTTTTAAGACCCGCCAATGTCTAGGCCTCCTCCCAGGCCAATCAAATCAGGGATTGCCCTGCAGGAAGCAGTGTGATTGGAGGCGGGGGTGGGGAGGGTGTCTGCTCGCTTGTAACCAAGGTATGACACTACGGCTGGAGTAGTGCTGTGGATCTCCAACTTGAGCAGGTGTCAGAATTGCGTGGAGGGCTTTGAAAAAGCAATGTTGGGCCCCAACCCACATTTTCAGATTCAGAAGGTCTTGGGTATCATCCAAGAATTTGAATTTCTAACAGATTTCCAGGCAATGCTGTTTCTGCTGCCCCAGGAACTCCACTTTGAGAACCACTGGTCTAATGTAATCCCCTGCCAGTGGATATTCATGAAGCAGAAACTTCCAGGGAGTGGGAGCTGGGGGCTCCAGGACACACAGAGCCCTGCCTCCGGGGTCACTCCATGCACATCTGTTTTACACAGTGAACTTCCTTGGAAAACTTTCACTTGAAAAAAATTGTGGGTAGAAAAAAATGTTTGAAAACCTCTGAAGCAAAGGCAAGAGTTTTAATCATAGGGATGGCGGATGTTCATTCTTTAATTGAGGGGCAAACCAGCCAGGATCCTCGGTCCCTCTTGTTGCTAGATGTAGTGGTGTTTGCTCCTAGTCCTGCCCTGTCCTGCAGGAGGTGTTTTCCATGCTGAACTCCTGGCTCCCTTTTGCATATAAGAGTTCACACCTGTCTGGAGGCCTCCATGGGGCCCAGACCAGTGTTGGACAGGGCAGCTCAGCTTGTGGGGAAATCCACTGTGTGTAGCTGCTAGCGCCTAACGACTGTGTACTGGGCGTCAAGCACCATGCTCATTTATATGCATGATCTTATTTAATTCTGTAGTGACCTCATGTAATAAGTACTGTCATTATCCCATTTCAGAGATGAGTATTTGATGCTACCTCCCAGATTGACAGTGTCCAGGAAAGCAGCTGCAGTGGAGGTGGAAAGGCGGTAGGATTCCCTGATTGGTAAGGGCAGTGGAGTGTCATGGGGAAGACTTTGTGCTTGTTGGTGTCTTGGGAAGAGAGCAGAACAGTGCCCTGTCAGCCCCGCAGGTCCCAGAACCCACTACCTGGGCCAGGTGACAGAACTCAGAGCCTTTGGTTGCCTCAGGAGATGTCACCATGGCTGTCCCTTCTTGGTCAAAGTCCCTGTTGGCCAAGACGTCCTGGGGAAAATGGGCAGTGAGCTTCCTTCTGGGTGAAACCCTTTTGAATGGCTCTTGATAGTGCAGAGGGTTGCGGGAGGAGATTCTGTGAACTAGCCGGGGTGAAGAATGGGTGGATCTCTCCAGGGCTCAGGTCCTGTATCTGTGGCTGCCATCTCTAACCACGGAGAGCTGGCTTGGACAGCTCTCAGCTTGCTCTCTACCCACAGGGAGGCTAAACTGTGTCCAGAGCTGCAGGTTTTTGCTGAGACATCATGAAAAATCTGGTTCTTCCCCTTGGTCACCTAATGTGGTTGGGGCAGAGACTGCGGGCCTTCTGGTTGGAGGAAGGGAGGCACAGATGGGTGTGTGTGGTCTTCTAAGCAGCATCTAGGTCCTTCTGGTGGCCAGAGGATGGCAGCATCCTTTAGCTCTCATGGGAGCCACCCTCTGTCCTCTGTGTATTTCCCTGTGTTCCCTTCATGGGACTTGGGCCTCCATATTTACAGCTGGTGTTGGCAGTGGAGAGGGGAAGGTGAGAGTAAAACTTCCAGAAGAAAAGCTTCCTATGAGGTGGGGAGTGTGAGGCCCCAGCCAGGGAAGACCCTTCCAGTGGCCAGAGCAGTGCTGCTTCCCCTGTACCTAAGACATTGCCCTCCTCCTCCAAGAGATTTTCAAAAGAGTTTTGAAGCTTAGTCCAACTGCAGCCCAAGCATCTGCCCTTCAGTTCCATCTTCAACTTAAATGAGATGTATTTAAGGAAAGGCTGGCCTGGAAACTACTGTGATCGGCACCAGGCAGCTTTTTCTTGAAGTCCTTTTAGATGAACGATATAATCCCTTCGTATGCCTGGAAATGATACGTAGAGGAAAGTTTACATCCAGTTTAACAGAATTTCTACTTAAGTGCTTTTTTTAATGGCCTACATTTGATCTTAAGCCACTTCTTTTTGAACCCTTGAGGGTTTTATTACTGAACTTTAAAAAGAACATTCAGTTCAGAGGGCTGGCATGTTCTCGAATGGAGCTGGATTTTGAAAGAAGGGAGATGAATTTCTTTCCCCAACAGAGGCACAGGTGTCGCCTACCAAAGGTGGACAGAACTGTATTTTTACTTCAGTGTAGCATCAGGATGTAGTGACCTTCTCTTTGAAGGAGTAGGCGTGCAGATATTATTGTTAGGATTTGTAGAGAGGATGATGGCTGGAGTAAAGGAGTGGCCAGGAGCTGGGGGTGGAAATTCTCCCACAGGTAGCCCTTTCTCAAGGCTAAATGAGCATCCCCGGCAGTGAACCTCCCTGTATTGTTATGCATATGCATAGCATGGGAGCTCGCTGCCAGGCAGCAGGAGCCCACTGGCCTTGCGCTGTGCCTTTATGAGTTAAATTTTCCCCACAAACCTCATTTTTTTCTTTTTTTTTTTGTGAGACAGAGTCTCCCTCTGTCACCCAGGCTGGGGTGCAGTGGTGTAATCTTGGCTCACTGCAATCTCTGCCTCCCAGGTTCAAAAGATTCTCCTGCCTCAGCCTCTTGAGTAGCTGGGATTACAGGTGCGCGTCACTACACCTGGTAATTTTTGTATTTTTAATAGAGATGGGGTGTCATCATATTGGTCAGGCTGGTTTCGAACTCCTGACCTCGTGATCAGCCCATCTTGGCCTCCCAAAGTTCTGGGGTTACAGGCGTGAGCCACGGTGCCTGGCCTCATGCCCTTCTTTAAGGAATCCCACCGGGTCCTCTACAGTACCCTCTTCCCTTTAGCATAGTGGGCTAATTCCGGGTGCCCATTAGAAATTCAAGACGCATCACTCTGACTCAAGCCGAGACCCTTGGTTGCCACTGGACCACAGGAGGTGTGTCCAGGATGTCCCCCTGTGGCTCACACCCCATCACCAGCTATGCAGAGGCACCATACCCTGTCTTTGCTTTGCCATACAGAGCAGAGGATGTGAAATCAAGAGTTGGACATGGCCCAGAATGTAGAGTGGAGTTTCATTTCTACTCCAGGGTTGCTAGTGCACATCAGGCCGGCTCTGCCTGCCACTGTACCCTTCTGCCTCTCAAGAACAGGTCTCCTGATGACCATTTGCATGAGAGTTTCCTAATGCTGGCAGTGTTGGGGTCAGAATGCTTGCAGCATCCCGGGCTGTTGAAAGATCTTTGTCAACTGCAGAAGAGCGGTGTGCTGACTCCTTCATCCTGTCTCACACCAGAGAAATTTTTTGGCATCTAGGAGACTTGAGACCAGGGAATACATTATAGCGATGGTTTCAGGATTGCTGGGAGAATCTGTTTCAGGCGCAGGTCCCCAGGCCTCAGATCTGCAGGTATGGCAGTCTGGGAAGGAACCTGGGAATCTTCATTTCTCCCAGTCTCCTTTGGCAATGCCAGTGGGCCTGGGATTATAGTAACGCTAAACCTAAATTTTAGTGGGTGGATCTCAGAAGGCTGGATTCTGGAAGCTTCTTTCTTACTTCTCAGCTGCAAGACTTTGGGTCAAACATTTTTGAGCTCCGTTTTCTTACTCTTAAGAGAAATTGGGTTGATATGACTTCTAAGAGTCCCTCCAATTCTGAAGTTGTAGCACATTAAAAATAACTGCATTTTAGGCCTGGCAGGTCACATTCCTGCCGAAGAGGGGCCTGGGAAAGAAAAAGACTCTACAATGTGAAAGTGTGGGCTTCGTGGTATGAGGCCAAGTTTATAAAGGTAGCCTCTGTGAAAGAATCATTTGTATTTATTGAAATCACTGATTTTAATCACCTTGGATGCTCCCTTGATAAAAAATTATAATCCTCTGTAAGTTATGAATACCTTGAAATTCACAAATTCTATCACTTTTGTGATTGGCAACATTAAATGGCAGCAGCTCATTTAAATAAGCAACATCTGGACATTATTATTTTTAGGGATTTTTCATCTGTTGATTTAGAAATCTGGGGCCTTTATGAATCTTGCCTGAATATTCTTTTCTATTCACATCTACCATCAAGACACAAAGGGATAGCCAAAAATATTGTCCAGTGACTCTTTGATGCAATGAATGTGTTTTTTAAACAACAAATCCATTGTGAATGAGAGAAGATATAAAATAGGCTGTGAGGGTAGGTGGTGGGGGCAGCTAGATCCTCCAAGAGCCAGAAGAGTCCAGAAATTCAAAGCCACAGTGGGAGAAGGTTTAGATTTTATATATAATAATGTACCATTTTAAAATCACAATATGATTTTGGGCTGATGATATTGGAATATGGCATTCACTATTTCTCAGAATAATCCAATTTAGAACAATGTATTCTGAGCAGGTTTGGTAAAAATAGAAGATCTATCATCCCATGGTATAAGATAATGCATTAATTTTTATGAGTGAGTTATGAAGATGTACAACTCGGTTAAGAGTTAGGATAAACATAATATTCCTTAATTAATCCATTATGCCATGGTACACATGTGCCATTTTTATTACCTTAAAAATGAAAAATGTCAAAAAAGGAAATTGCTGCTTTTTTATATCAAAAAAGCCTTTTTTGAAAAATCATAAAATGGCCTAATCTAATTCACCATATAATACTAATGAGCTTAACAAGCCATCTCCATGCACAGTTTAGGATAAAAGGTCATCAGTTTCTGGCAGTCAAATTCCAGTACTTTTCAGACGAGGCAAAACCTTTCAGCACCAAATATCGGAAATGGCATTTGTGATTAAGCGTTATTAATAGCTATTTGTTATGAACGTGGGAGAGTTTTAGAAATTCATATTATACCCTCCTCGAGTTTTCTAAATCTTACCATTGCAGATGCCAGGAGCAGGTATTTTCCCCTGACCCCCCACACCCCCCACCCCCCTGAGTCTGATTAACCTGTTGTCCATCCCAATTCTGGGTGGTGTTCAATAGGAATCTTACATTCACACAGTGCTTTCCGTTTCATGCCACATTTGATTTCCCCAAAACTCTCTGAATCCTCTGCATTTATTTCCTGGGCTCTCTTTGCTCTCCAGGCAGCCTTCCTGTCCTCTGTATGTGCCACTGTCATCTGCCTGGTGTTTCTTTTGTCACAGAACGGGCCCTGTGGAGGTACAGGCTGAGCACCTTCGGCCGCAGTGCACGCCGTGGCTGCAGCCGGCCTTGTTATGGAAAAGAATTGCCCAGTGGGTTGAGGGAATGGGCAACAGTAGACCAGAATCATGAAGCTGAAAGGAATATTGCCGACTGGAGGTCATTTTTCCCAACTGAGGGGCAATAGTTTGCCACTATAAACTGCACATTGCAGTCAGTATATGTTTTATTAAACCATTTAAGGAACTTGGGAGCCATTTCATTTAAACTTCCTGCTTGATGGAACTCAGGGCAGAGCCCGGAGCAGCTCACAAAAGAGGTCTGGAGTAATTTGCCAAAGAAATACCCTGGGTACCCAGCAGGATGACCGCAACAGGGGGAGTCTGGTGAGGGCTGGACCCAGCGCTTATAGCACTCTTCGACGCCTGAGTGCACGAGTGTGTGTGTGTGTCTGGAGGTTTGAGTCCCAGCTCTGCTGCTAACTAGCTCCATGACCTTGGTCAAATCTCTTAGCTTCCCCTGGACTATTTCTGCTGCTGCAATAGGAGGGGATGGGGTTTGATAGTAGACGCAGGGTCCTTTCCAGCTCAGTGATTCCATAAAATGCTGGATCGTCGGGGGGTTGCCCCTGGAACTGTGGTTCTAGGACACCCCATCAGGCCCCTGATCATCACAATGGAAAGTCAGCCCTTGTGTCTGCTCTGCCTGGGAAGCGATTCCGGCTGTGGATGTTTTCATAGGCTCTGGAGACCGTGGCTCCCCTGATC